CGATACAGTCATGATATAACAATATTGTTACAACCTTGTGTCGTCAACCTTGTAACATTCTTGTTATATCATGACTGTATCAGACTTGTTAGAACAACCTTGTAACAAGTCTGATAATGCCATCGATCAAACTTGTTCCAAGTTGTTAATAACAGCTTGTTCCCTGAAACTTGTTACAACAACTGGGAACAAGCAGTGCGAACACAACTTGTCGACAGCTTGTGAACAGATTTGTAACAACTTGTTTGCAGACCTGTAACAACTTGTGCGTTTTTACGTGTCTTGTCAGTTGTCCAACTTGCGAAAGGCATCCTCTGATACACAGCTTCTGCCTAACTTGAGTTGTATTGTGCAAATCAAGCACACAACTCACTTACGTTGTCGCGGATGAATTATGTGCTTGATTTACACAGTACAACTCAAGTTTTAACTTGTTTAAAGCATGTTGCACGCGACAGTTTTATGGAAAATTTGTGTTGTGGGATGATCACACAGAGCGTTCGGTCAAAGAGCTTCCGGTTATTATAATATGTACACAATATATAAATGTACGTTCAAAACATTTCTGATAAATTACGGCTTTTTTCTATCCCGATATTTAAAACGAAAAACATTTGAGAAATATATTTAAACACAGCGCTTCAAAGAACAAGAAAATATATAGAATGTAATATTAAGCGAGATTTTTTATGTAACATTTTGAAATAGCAGTCAACATAATATGTCGAAAAAAATTACAAATGCGCATATCCGGTATCATTTTGAAGGCTATAAAATGGGGGAAACACTGGTTTCAAACGATTAGTCTCTTCGAACAGCCAAGCAAGAATGTTGCCTTCCTTAAGAAAAGTTTTAAGCGGGAGTGCTCTTTCGCGAGCAGCTTGCTTAACGCCACTTGTTCAGCGAAAATTGAGCAATGGCCCATCACATATCAAGACGGCACAGGCGTTTGAGAATATATCAGGTAATGAACTATTGAACTTTTGTCTGTATTGTGTTGTTGATTTTATACCTGTGTATGAATTCATGTTTTATAAGCTGTATCGAGGAATTATTGAAGTGAATTTGCTGTCTAAAGTGCTGGGATTGATTGCTTAATAAACCTTTCTAGTTGTTACTTTTTGTGTTTACCGGCTTGCGGACAAATCAGGCTTTCTGTACATGAGACATTGAGCATTGAATATGAGACATACAGTTGTTTATGAAGGCAATAAAGCAAATAAACCTAGTTTACTAGCCAATCAATATTAAGGATTCGTTGCTTCGCAAACTTTTGTAGTACTAAACAAACTCAATGACAATGTCTTTGAGTTGATATTCCTTTCGGAGTTCAGACTACCATTGTCTGAATATATTTGATATTGAAATTGTTAATTCCTCTGTTTAATTTCATTTGCTTCCTCTCGAAATACGAATGTTTGTGTCAATATAACCTAGTAGTTCTTCTGTCCTTGATGAAGTACAGTATTATGAAAATCGAGTTAATTTATGGTGTAATATAGAAAAAAGAATACAAATTATGTTCTAAAATATATTCTAATTGTGGTTCTAATGCACTTAAACGGCTTCGATTCCCACGGCCACGTGTTATTAAAATTTATAAAATTTCTTCGGAACAAGTCGAACAATTACTACCCTGACTTGGGCTTGTAAATGGTCAAATAATCTATGCTAACATATTGAATCAAATTGGTCAAAGTGCATTGTAAAAACTACCCTGATAGCAA